GTCAACCCTGAGCCGGTGAGATTTGAACCGCTGACCTGCTGATCTAGCAGTAGCCTGCAGTGCTGCATTTAACCACTGCGCCACCTTGGCTCAAGGTGGTTGGAATTCTTGTGGTTGGAATAAAAGCTATTATTTCAATGGCAGTTTCCCACTTGGATAGTCCATAACAAATAAGGGAGTCTCAAATAAGAGTCACGACAGAGACATGGCAGAATATAAGTAAATAATAAATAAACAAATTCTCGTCTCTTACTCTCTGATGATGTTATCTTGTTTGGGTAATGAAAGGTCTGCAAGAAATCAAACAAGCTCAGAGAGCACCAAGGACTCCTCTTACCTAATTTCCCACATGAAAGGGGGGGGGGGGCACCAACTATAGTCTAGCATTAATAAGGATAATTCTCAGAGAAATTTAATATATGCCCATCTGCTCTCCTCCTTTGCTGGGGTCACACATTTAGAAAAAGCAACTGCTATCTTAGGTTATCAGAATTAGGTATGTATGTCACTTTGACCAAAAAATAAGATAGGAATAAATATTGTATCTGTCTCTCTGTATTATCTGGATGTTTATATTATTTTTTAAAATGTATGTTTTGTATTCTAAAGATGTCAAAAGATATCATTAAGATAAATCCATTTTACATCAGGGTTGGTATTTCAATAGTGGGGGGGGGAGTACAACACTCTACCAGGGGTGAGTTCTAGCCGGCATTACTGGTGGTTCGCTTGTGCGCATACTGGATGCGCACTGCACGTTCATTTCAATGGAAATTGTTCTGTGCATGTGCAGAATTCCAAAAAAAAGATGGCTGCGGTGAGAACAGCGGTGACTGGGGAACTGGTTAGGGAGTGTGGCCAGCCTGGGTCTCTGCCGGTTCTGCGACCCAGACCAGCATACCACTACTGGTTCAGCCAAACTGGTAGGAACCAACCTCTGCATTGTACTTCTATAGTAATTAAAAAACTGTAAGACATATTGTATATCCTCACTTATTACTGTTCCTGCTCCTTTGATAGAAAGTAATGAAAAGCATATGATATTTCAAAATGATATTTTTCTCCTTAGCACTTTCCGTTCGAATTTATGGAAACTCATTTCTTGTAGCAGAATAAGTAATAATCTATTCATAACACTACTTCAATGAAATAGTACCTCTGCCACAACTGTAATTTCCTGTGTTTTGCTAATGATACTAAGAAAATTATGTATGTTTATATAAACAGACAAACTATGTGGCTTTAGGCAACTCCTACTTTTTCTAACAGGGTTGCTACAAGCCAGGGACATTGGGATTAACTCATCTATTTTATGCCAATTTCCTTGAAAGAGGATAAAATGTGAAATATGTTAGAACTTTAAAAAGCTGATTTTCAACGGACTAAGATTTTTTTCCTGAAATGTCAGCTGGCTCAAAATACTGCATTCTTTTATTTTCAGGCACACAGACACCTATTATAAGGGGATAGAATGGAATAGGATAATGAAAAGATTGGCCAAGTTGCCCTGAAAAATAATCTAAATTTATAAGATCATTCCTATTGGCTGAAATCAACTTAAACCGTCTTATAATCATCTATGAGTAGATTTTAGAACTATAGCAGGAGCTTTGCCATAGAAAACAACAGACAATTTTCATACCACTATGTGCATTTCTGCCTATGCGTGAAGGCCTGTGTACATGTACAGAAATCTGGTACAACTGGGTTTATCCCATCACAATTAATCCAGAGTAGATTCCCTTTTGCGGATATTCATGTTCTATATATACTTATAGTTCCCTGAGGTATAAATAAAACACTGATGAACCCTGTAGCAAAGCCCTTTAACAGCACTACAGTTACTTAGGCTTTTATTTAATATACCTTTTTATACCAGAAACGTGAATAGCTAAACCTTGACCTATGACCACAACTGGGCTCAAAATTTCTGCTGATAAGCAAAGCAGTTGTTAAGTGAGTTGTGCCTCATTTTATGCCATTTTGCCACAGCTGTTAAGTGAATCATTCAGTTTTTAAGCAAATCTGTCTTCCCATATTGATTTTGCTTGTCAGAAGCCAGGTGTGAAGGTTACAGATGCTGATCACATGACCATGGGCAGTACATAAATATATGCCAGTTGCCAAATGCCCAACTTATGTTCGTGTGACTATGATGCTACATCAGATGCAATTGTGAAACCTGGTCATGAGTCACTATTTTCAATGCTGTTGTAACTTTGAATGGTCATTAAATGGATGGTTGTGAGGACAACCTATAATCTTTTCTTAATAGGGAGCAATTAAGTAGTTCTCCCTTACCGACAGTACTGTAGATGTATTTAGTTGGTAGAAATTTCACAATGCTAATTGAGCACACTGATGCATTTTAAAATTTCCATGCCCTGGGCAATGTTCATAGCTGAGTGGTTGTCTACGCTAGGATTTTGTGTGTGATTTTATGTGAAATAGAGCTGTCTCCCCCAAACTTTTGGGCACCCAGGACTGATTCCATAGAGAGAGGGGGCATGGTTTTGTGTGCTGCTTGCAACTTGCGGATAAGTCTTCACCTGTTTGTGCGGCCCAGTTTATGGCATGCCGTGGATTGGTGCAGGTCCATGGACCCGGGTTGGGGACCCCTGAAGTAGAGGATTCTAAAAGAAGGGACCATTAATAGAGGTACTTGCAATCAGTATCAGTTGGGCTACATTTGTTTCCTCTATGTTTGTCCGTGACTGCAAAAAAGGTACTGGTATTTGCCTTAATTCTATGTATGTTGAAAGAGTAGAAAATCTACATTGCTTGCAACATTAAAATGACATATTTGTTATGATAATGCCAGGTGATTGTAAAAAGTGAACTATCCAAATGCTGCGATTAGAACTTTTTCTAGTACCGAGGAATGAAAGCTATCACTAAAATCAGTATAAATATCGAAAAGGAGGCCTGCATACATCAATGCAATGCACAATGCTGTTTTATGTATTTATTAGATTTATACTGTGGTCGATTCCACATGAGTCAACACTAATCTTGCTAGGTGATGCCCACTGAAATACTACAGTTACGAAACCCAAAGTTTTTCAAGTTAGGCTTGTAAATTGATTGTATTGTACTTTCTTTGATCATAGGCAAAACTAGAAATTATGCTTTCAATGCAGCTGGAATCATCAACTTAGAAAATATTATTGTAAGCAAGTTAATTTACCAAGAAGAATGATGAGTCTTGGTACAATTCACTAGACCAATGATGAATTGTGTTGATGTTGAAAACAATAATATTTGGGTAGGGAAACTTTAGGCAGATGAATAATAGTCTGAAGTTCCCCTTCACTTACAAAGGATTAGGGACGAGGTATATGTTTGGCAAGTAAATTCTGCTACAGTTAAGTAGTAACTCAGAGAAAATTCTTTATATGTATCTGGTTCATACATCTAGATTTTTGGAGCAAGATTTCTGAATAAACCATAATTCAATATGTTAACCTTATGTTTTTACAAGTGTAGTTCACCAGCTCTCAACCTGCTAGATAATTCCTAGAAACTGAATTAGCTTGTCAGAATGGAATTTTTGTTTTCTTTCATTTTAATCAGCAAATTCAATATCTAAATTTCCAAAACAAGAGTAGTCCAAATAAACAATTATTTCTATTCTTGTCTGTATGAACATACCTTTGGCATTAAAACAAGCTTATATCTGCATGCTCTTCACTTAAAGAGGAGGATATTTGCAAGAAACAAATCTGTTTTCAATTCTGAAAATATATTGCTTCCAATGTGCTTCAAATATCCTCAAATGCATCAATAGCTGCAACATGCACCACAACATGTAACCTTATTGGCTGACCCCTTGAGATTCTCATTCAACTTTCTTCTTCCCATTGCCTCATCCAAATGGTTGATTATTGATTGCCTTTTCTGACAATTCTGCCAAGTTCAAATACAGTGCAGATTTTACTCAAGAGTCTCAAACTAATGAACATCCCATCAAGGGATCATACAGGAAGCATAAAAAGATCACCTCGATAAGGGATCCTCAACCCCAAGACTGTGACCTATCTGGAACCATGTGAATGGTGAACTGGGGCGCAAATGCACAGCTTGACTTGGGTAAGCAGCAGGCGGGAGTGCATGCACATGCCTGCACAGTTCAATGTACTCAAGTTGAACTGCTTGTGCATGTGCATGTGTTCTGGCCTGCCATCATGCAAATTGAGCTGAGCACACACATGCACAGGCCTGCCGCTGACCTAGATGCTTAAGAGAAAACAAGAATCTATTAAAATGCTTAAAGCATATCTAAATATGTTTATATAACAGGAAACTTTGCTATGCCATAACTATTGAATTTGCAAGCTGTTCCCAGTGCATTGTAAATTCAGCCTTCTTTGATTTTGTCCCCACCATCTGCAGAATGCAGATCCTTTTGAGTTTGCTATCAAGTTAGTGTGAAACAAAATTGGAAATTGGGAGCATGGTGAGCTTGTCAGTGATCCCAGTTAAAAAGCAAGGCATACCGGTAGGAAAAATGCAGGTTCCAACCAATGAGGGCAGGGTTTTCCAAGTTTGCAGAGCAGCTGGAATATTTTGCTCCTGGCAATACATCAAGGCTACTTTGCAGCCAGCACTGAATGAATGACAGGCATTGTGCAGCAGAAGTGAAATACAATGTTTACTGGTAGATATCCACTTTGTATGTGTTTATGTGTGTGTATTTGTGTGTCTGCACATTCATGCACACAGAAGATGCATTTTGGAATCAGAGTCAGGTTTCACACCTGGAAGAATATTCCTGTCTTCAATTTAAGAAAACAACATCTACCTAAGAATTATAGGCAATGTAAACAAAGTGTCATTTTAGAATTTGGATGTAGAGAGCAGTAACTAAATATAGAGTGATTAACTTTAATGATCCAATTTTGATGAACAGCTAGTAGAAATTAAGACAATAGATAATTGCATCAGCCAGATTCATTAGTTATTTAAGAAGACAGCAAGGACATTAAAATTGTTGGAACCAATTATTCTAAGTAATTTTATACCAACTCCACAACTAACTGAATTAGTTTATCCAAAAGATTATGAAGTTGTATTTTTTGAATAAGTTAGAATCATTTCATTTGTTTTCTCAAAACTGAGTACATCTTCAGAATCTGTTAGAATCCAAGATCCTTTATCTTCAGTCTCCTAGTCTGTGCCAAAGGCAAAATGTAGTTTTTATATTAAACAATATTTCTGATATCCAAACCTGGACGCAGGTGCACTGAAGCTTCTCCTGGTATAACTTGAATGTTAGCCTCATTGCTGGACACTGTTACATCAACCTTAGGACTTTCTAGGAAATCTGGCTTGCAGCCTCTTTGGATTAAATGTGAAACTATGTCACATCTTTCTTTCAGCTTTGTTCCTGCCATGAAATCCTGTTTGAATTGGGGGGGGGGGGAAATACATAATAAAAGTATAAGAAGTTGGAAAACTTTAATTTCCAGAAAATATAATATCATATAAACAAAAAGTTATTATCCCAAACCAACAATAAAGCCAACATCACCAAACCATTTATAATACCACTGTTTTTAAAGACAGGGGAGATATTACTGCGCATTGCAACAAAACTGGATACAGGTGGGAATAAAGCTATTCAGACTATTTTATAAGAAATCAGCATCAATAGTAAAGTACATAACTTTAAGACCAAGTACAAATGCCGGTATTCATCTTTAATGCCTGTAATAGTACATGAAATTTTATTTAAAGGATCATATAGAGCTGCCTAGCAAATCCGAAGCCCTTTCATGTGCTCATAGGAGAAAAGATGAACTTTATAGCATTCCTCATTAAAGAGATAAAAATTATTTCTTTCTTTTCTTTTGGAGAAAGCACTGAACATTATTAATTCAGGATTTTTATAATTAGGAGATCATAACAAAGCATATTCCTACATGTTGTTTTGCCAAAGGTTTGGTTACTTATTGGAATATAAAGGTAAACATAAAGGTTCTCCCTGCACATATAGTCATTCCTGACTCTATGGGGCAGTGCTCATTTCCGTTTCAAGGCCAAAGAACCAGCGCTGTCCAAAGACATCTCCATGGCCCATGACTAAACGCTGAAGGAGCACTGAACGCTGTTACCTTTCCACCAAAGGTGGTTCCTATGTTTATACTTGCATTTTTACCTGCTTTCGAACTGCTAGATTGGCAAACGCTGGGACAAGTAGTGGGAATTCTAGCAGTTTGACTT